CTACAACAGAGGAAAGAATCTTACTTAGAATGTAATTAAGGATTGAATTAGGTTTTATTTAGACTCAGGTGGTGCTAATAACTCAACAGGAGCCAACTCAACAGAGACCAGTAGTTTTAAAACTTGGGATCTCTGATCATTGTTAAAAACATACACACTCATTTGAAGACGAGCATGGGACAGTTTTCAAAGATTTAATGATTTTCTAAAACAAAAAAATAAAAAAATGCAAATTTAAGATGAGACAAGGTAGGAAATAAAGACTAAAAATCTACCATTTTTTATAGTTTAATCAGTTGTGTTGTTTTATTTGCACAGCTGTAAAAAGCTTTGGAGGTCATTCATTGGCTATGCAGATGGAAAACAACAAAGAACATCAGCCTTATGATGTCCTGTGTCAACTGTGTTATATTGCAAGACTGATCAGGGAATTATGGAACTGAATCAGAACAAACTAAAATTCACAAAGCCACTACTCTTTTTGGCCTCCCACAGCAGCCAGAAGGTCAAGATGATTACATGATGTTTTGCAAGTATTACCCAGACTAATCAACCAGAATGTGACATTTCACTGTAAAGGATAAAACAAAAGAGAGAAAAAGTAACATCAGTTCAATTTAAAATCAAGTACCTTTGCTGCTCCCTGTATGTAGAAATCAGGAAAGAGAAAATTAGCTAAACATATCTACACGATTGGCATTGCAGATGAAACTGGAAGTGTAAAGAGCCTTCTATTAGATGAGTGTTAATAAGCATTTAACTTCATCTTGGCTTTTGAAAATCACTTGAGTAATATGAATATGTTTCAAATGTGATTCTCAACAAGGGCTGCCAGTGTGAACTGAAACCATGACATTCTGCAAACCAGAGAATCAAAATGTGTCTCTGTGTCAGAGTTTAGTCTTTTTCTGCTGAAGCCATCACCCAGGTAGGAATTACAAAGAAAGTAAAAAGGGAAAAGACCATTATAATGAGTCAGTGTTATTGATTGTCTAAATGACTGTTTAAAAATCAGATTTGAATTGAAGGAGAATCGACAAATATTGTAAGTGATCTTGGCCTTAAAGATAAACATATAATATATGGAAAGGCTTCTTAGCTGGACAGATATTTAATTCTCTCTGTAGTGCTAGTAATCCTCCAAATTTCAGCTATGACAGCATCAGCAGAAAAATGTATAAGGTTATGTGAAGAAAAACTGAGAAATATATGAGAACAAATGTAATATACCCAAAGGCTAACAATGTTTTTAACTTCTGAACTACAATCAGGTAACATTTTTCTTGAAGTCAATAAATTGAGGGCATGAGTCAGAGACTTTCATGTAAATCAACAAGACCTACCAGACACTGAAATCTACTTGTTTAGGTGGAAAACATTAGATAAGAAAATTCAACAATAAGCAAGTTATTTAATCTGATTATCAATAGCACCTATTCACATACAGTAACACAAATCCATCCAATGCCCTGATAATAATGTTAAAGGAAAACAAAAGAACATAGAACACATGGAGAGATTTGATTGTACAGTCGATAATCTTGAAGACCTGCTACCAAAGAGAGGACATTTAGCCCATCTAGCTTCTTGAAATGTTAGTAGCTAAATGATCTAGGGATCTCACCCAGCTACTTACTGAAAAAACCCAGGGTATCAACTTTACAACATGGATATGTTACTAGTTTGAGACTTCCACAACATTTATGGAGAACATGCAACCTGTTTAAAATGAACTTGCACATAGTTTTCAATGTTTCCTCTAGTATTTGAATCAGGTCCCAACCCACTAAAGTAGAAATATAATACCAGAGGCTTTCTCATAAGATGCTCCTTCATATTCAGGGTTTCTCCTCTTATATTTATAGTTTATACTCCCATAATACCTCCATGGAATAATATGCACTTGTCTACGTTAAATGTCACCTGCCCAGTCTTGAATTTATCAAAGTATTTTTAAAATTCCATTGCATTTTCTACTGTGTAGAAAAATAGTATTTTGATATCACCAGTGAACCTGACTGGTTTATAGCAGCAAAGGAACAAGTAATAGGTTTATTCCATGCTGAAAAAAAAGAAGAAAGAAAACAACGTTTCATCTGTGGAGCCTTCTTCAGGTGTGAGAAAGACCAACATAGTTTACAAAGACAAGACGTTTATAGCAGTCATAGCAGAACACGGACATTTGCTTTTGAATCAGAGCACTGGTCCTAATTCAGTTCTCCGTGGTAATTACGTCAGCCATATCTGAATATTCCCATTTTTTTTTCAAGCAAATTGAGACCCTTGATTCCTGAGCTTTCACTCCTGTTTGATGTGTAATGTTACAACTGCATCTTCTTTCCTTTGTGTTTTTATCGTCATGTTTTGTTAGTCATTTCTCCAATTACAACACAATTGTATGCTGGTGCTGTAAACACTATCTATTTTATACCCAATACTCCTAAAATTTAGGTTTAAGCGCTTCACTACTTGGTCCTTTTATAATCTGTTTTTTCATTGGGTTATCTTTCATACCATTACCACTGGATCCCCCTCTGCAGATTTTATTTGGATTCATCCCCATCTTTTTTAGTTGCAACTCGTCCACAAGACTACATTTTTTCCTGCCCGTGCTAGGATCTTGTATCCTTTTTGGAGGATGTGAGCTGCCACAGCTCCAGGGAGATGGCATACTGCAGTTGACTCAGGATCTCCCTCGCACTGATCCCAAGACTGACTACTGCCACCTCTCTGTCTCTCAAGATTCTGGTGCTGATGGGGTTATTGTGATTCCTTGAGAACTGCTGTCTCTTCTATGGCGATGTTCTATAAGCTGCTGTCTTGAGTTGCCCAGATTTAGCTATCTGTTTCCAGGCCCTGGAACAAACTTGTACATTGTTGTAAAGTTAGGTGACATTGTGACAATATCGGCTCATCTTTTGGTTTCTGTATGTTCTGATAATTAGGAGATACTACCATGATTGTTGAGATTTGAAAGTTCCTCCACGATGCTCTCCAAGTTTCTGGAGCTCCGATTTCAAAGCATTCACTTTTTTAAGGAGCCATTGGATTCTGTGGCGTTTTCCACAGATATAGTCTTACAGAAGAGAAAAGGTACTCCTATTTTTTAATGCATAGAATCGCTTTTGAAACCATTATGTTTTTATGTTGTTCGGGATGAGCAAATGCTAAATTTTGTCTTGTTACAGTAATAAAAAGTCAAAGTTATTACCATTCATGCAATGCTTTTCAGACAACACTGTAGCCTTTAATTTTTTTTGTCCTGATTTTTCTAAACTTAATACTTTATTGAACTAGATATATTAATTGAGAACAAATGTTCACTTACAATGAAAACCTGGGGTACGCGTTTATAAAGCAGATTATTTATTGGAGTAATGCAAGTGAAGCACCTTGCCTAACTGTACAACAAGTGTCCCACCGGGAATGTGAACCCAGTTCCCTAACTATTACTTCACATTGCAGCCATTCAATATCTTCTTTAGCATTTTGCTTGTAGGCTCTACAGCCCGAGCTCTCCAATGACAAAAAAAACATGCTGTCAATTCCATTAATATCTTTCTTTTCTTACATATTAGTGCTCATCCATTAAAACAAACTAAAGATATTTAATTAATACCTCTAATTAATTAGATCCACCTAGCCTACTAAAAGATAGAATGATTCAATAAGGCCTTCTAGAGGAAACTTCAACTCAACTCAAAGTAAAAAACAACGATGGGACAGAGAAATACTGTGTCTGCCACAGTGCTCAAGCTCTAGAGTTTCCTGACACCTCACTGCTGCCTTTTAATGCCTAAAAACATTTTCACAACTGGGTCAAAAGTCTGACAGAAAAAATATTTTTCTTAAAAATCATAAGGTACCCAATGTGGTTTTGGAAAAGCAAAGACTACACATAAATGTTTGCCACACAACCTGTAAAACATTGTATAAAGCATTGTTGAAAGCAATACAACATTAGTATTTAAATTATTTTAAAGTTTTAAAGTATCAGTAAAAGTTTAATGGAAGCAGTGAAGCCTGTAAGGTTATGAGCTGCTGCTGACGTAACTCCACTGTATTTGCAGAAAGAGGTCCTGTGGGTGACAACCCTCCCACAGGCAAACACTCCAACAGTTAACACAGCAGGTGGTTGTGGTAGATTTGTCAACTGCTTCCCAAGACACTTCTCTACCCAATAAAATTGGGAAGATCACAAAGTATGCCTCTCTTTAAACATCACATACAAAATTTGACTTTTTGGTATTTTTCTGGTAGGGTCTTTTAAATATTATGCTGCATTAGAAGCTACAACAACATGCAAGTGTTCATGGTGTATATTAGAAGTAAAATATTGTACGTTCTACTCTACTGTTGGAGCCAACTTTTACAAGAACATATAAACTCTCTACAAATACCATTGAATAAGAGAGCTGGGAAATCTCTCTGGATGCTTCTGCTTCTGCCAAAGTAACAAGAAACATCAGCACACAGGCAAACATCCCCCCCCCCTTCTTTGTAACTGAAATACTGTCCTCAGACCTGAGCAAAAGCTAAACAGGAGACTGCAACTTTTCAAACATGAATCTACTTCAGCACGGGACGTAGAATCTGCACAAAGTTTGAAGACCAAAATTCTTGTAAACACAGAACAACAAAAACAGTTCTTTTCCAGCAACAATCATACAACCATTTAAGCATCCTAATTCCATTTTTGAAAAATAAAAGCACATAAGTGTGTTACCTATTGAAGCATTTTAGAAGATTGTAGTGGAAACAAACAGAAAACAATGTCCATGCGACAGACCACATAACTTCAGAACAATGTATTAAAACCTAAAATATTCCTACATTTATGAAGGAAAAGTCATTACAAATATACAAAAATCAGGAAAGAAAACAAATCTAACTCTACCAACAGGCAACAGATATACTGTGAGAGATGCCAAAAAGGTTAAGTAGTCATGGCATGTTTTTCTTGTGTAATGCAAAACCAGAAACAAAATATACAGCCCTACCTTTCTTCCAAAGCTGTGATGCCAAGCACAGGTACACTGTAGTAATCAATTTGCTCTGCAGGCAGCAATGCTCCAGCAGAATACTAATGTGGATCCTTCTCTTCCTATCTCTCTCCTTCGACTTGACGCCCCCCTGTGCCCCCGTCCTGACCAATGCCCAAGGAGGGCGGACTGTCTTCTTCCCAGATAACAACTACCACTAATCAAGCATACGTGTACGAGGGCGTGGGATTACAGAGCTCGCATAGCCTGACTCAGGCACTGAAATACAGCTAAGTACATGCACAACAAGGTCAGCTTTAAACCTGTAGTAACCCAGCCAGCACTCTCCCCCACAGCCTTCTCCATGCCGACACACACTCGACCCACGCACGCACGCACACACCAACACGCAGAGGGGCGAGTCTGCTCGAGTGAACTAATTCATCACATTTTACTACTGACGGCTTTTTACCTCAGGGAAGGAAATTGCATCCTAGAGGAATGACAACAACAAGACACCGGCACAGATCCTGGGATTCTTGCCTCCGTTGCTAAGATGATGTGAAGCTACACTGCATATTTGCTTTTGTTACTTTGTGGTGGTGGGGGGGGGTTGTGATCACAACAAAGCAGAGACAGGGAAGCAGAGCAGGAGATGCGTAAGAGCAAGCCCTTCATCGCTTTAACCTGCCCTGGGGCACTTTGCACAGAAACCAGCACTAACCGTCTCCTCGAAGAGTTAAGGACATCTGCAGAGCAGCTTTACTGGCTTCCGAGAGATGAAGTTCTATTTCAAAACCTTCTGCAAAAATCTGTCAGCTCAAAGAAGACCATCTTTTGATTCTCATCTCATTGATGAATGATTTAATTACTTAAGTGCCAAATAACCCTATTTACAATAAAATACTTGAGTAAAACAACATGCTGAAAATAAGTGGGAAGCTTTTACACAATTAAAATTACTAATTTAATGCACTCTAACCAGTTTTTCAAGTTTGTGGAAGACCTTTTCTCAAACACCGACAGCACCGTTATAATAATGATAAACAATCTTCCATATCAATCATTATTCCTCACAGAACTGCTTTCATCAGCATCACAGTACAGGGGCAGACTCCCGAGCCTCTAACAGGCGGCAGGCTCCTGAGTTTGCAGTGCCAGAAATACTTCATAATGAGCATTACGAGCGTGATTATCACTTCTTGATGCAAGGACACAACCTTATCCTGCAAGTCTTCTACATAGCAGCAAGACAGAACAAATAAATGACCAAAAATCAAAATACTTAGAACATTTATCATCATACTTTTGCCTGTGTTTGAAAAGAACTGGGGATGCAGCCAAGAGCTTGCAACGGTAACAAAACACCTTTTCAAAAAAAAAAGATGGAAGAGGAGGGTACGCGTCGTGCCAAAACCTGTGCCCTTGACATACTGACATCAGGCTACAGTCATGTGACACTCTGTCATCCGCCACCTGGCAGAATCTCCACCTTCTCACGACCTCATCCTCCAGTGACCCGCGGCGCCGGGCTCGCAGGAGGCCCCTCCCACAGCTCCGCGGGGAGGTCGAGCAGGTCAGCGTGTCCTCATCTGTAATCCGCTGCCATTCGTCAGCAGCCCGGCTGGAGGAGGCAGGCTGGCTACAAGGGGAGAATGCCCAATTAGGCAGCTGTCACACAAAGCGGAGGCTGCAAAACCATCCCCTGTCGAAAGAAAGAGCAGCTGCGGGTGCCAATTACAGCAACCTATTAACCCTTCGGGCGCCGGAGGAAGAGGAGCTGGACCTGCACACCAGAGCCTGAGTGCCAGGCTCTCACACGGTCGTTCAAGACCGCTGATCGGGAGTCCTGGCTTTTCAACTGAAGCCCAATACAAATGACATTATTATTTAACGCATCTATTATTATTCTTTAATAATAAGATACTTTGTTTAATATTTAATACTGTGAAAGGGGAATGCCCTTTTCTACTATTTTGCTCTTTTAAATCAGATTCACATTAAACTGTATCATATCCAAAAAGTTTCAAATACTTTACAAGGAGAATAATGAAATCTTTCACCTACTTAAATTAAGGGTCACCGAGTTCTTATGGACCTGTTACTGTCAATATCAGCCAGGTTGTTCAAACTCAGAAAATAACAGCTGAGAGTTGCCGACAAATTGTCAAGAACTGCTGCAACATTCTACAAAATGTTTTTTTTTTTAAATCAGTAAAAGCAAAATGGAGGATAAACTAAACTATTCAGAACTGCAATTTGGGCCATATTTACCAAAGAGGGAACTCTGGATACCACACCTGCAAGATACATATTAAAGTGTTTAATGAGCCAACAAGGATGAAAACAAGAATTGACTACAACACTTTGCATCGTTCCCTTTCTCACACTTTCCAGCATCTTTTGATTTTTGCAGTTCTCAGAGAGCACGCAGTACAGTTACAGAATGATAGCAATTTAATCATAGATAAATGAAAGCCTGGAAGAGAGCAGGAGTTGACTCCAGACTGAATAATCTCAGCATTCTTAATTAAACGATTGAAGAAAAGCCAGTACATTAAAAGGGAAAGTGCGTCTGGGTCTCCTGCCTTTTTCCCCAGACAGGGAGGCAGTTAATAAGCAAACCTACTGTGGGCTTCATCGGAGCTATTAACTGAAGTCATCAGTGCAAACACGTGTGACCAAGAGGTATTCAGTATTTTCAAGGAAATTTCAAGGAAACCACTGAAACAGAATGCAAATATCCAAGGTTGCAAGTATCTAAGAGTGGTCCAAGTCCCCTCCACAAACACCAGAACAGGGGGTGTTTGACAAGCCCACCCTGCCTGTGCAAGACAACAGAACGAAGGGGTTTTCATTCTTGACGATTACAGGCAAAAAATAAAAAGCTGTCATTAAATAATATTCATGTTTCCTGGACTTCTGCTCTTTGGGATTTGGTGCAAGACCAACAGTAAGCAATGAGGGAACATCCAATATAATGTCTTCAAAGTCAAAACAGAAAGGTAGACAGGTAGATTGTGTGTAATTCAATAATAAGAAGAAATGTATAATATGATAATAAGAAATATTTTTGTATAGAAGATTTCATTTGTGTAACTACGGGCTGACAAATATCCCAGAGAGAGAGAATATAAAGAAGTAATGCGGTGCAGTTACCTGGGTAAACAGGTGGTGTGTTATAAGAATAAGAAAGACCTAATGTAGCAGTAACATTCACAAAATAGAGTCTCAATCAATCTCAGTCTCAATCTGGACTGCACTTTTAGCATCTTTGTATACAGTATTGCTTTTCCTGTACAGTTTGCATAAAAATGTGTCTGCATACTCTCAGAAATGATAATTCTACCGATTCTAGCAATCTGTGTAGGTGTAACGGGTGACTGCTGTTCTGGGGATGTGCTCTTGTACAGAAGCTTGGGGATCTTTCACTTTTTCCTCCAAAAGTCCATTCAACTGTCTTCCAGTGACACTTGTGATGCGAAGATAATTTCTATAAATACTTTTTTTTATGATAAAGCCCCATTTACCATGTCAATAAAAATGGATTAGCATAACCTCCAATGACAAATTAGAAGATAAAATTCAAAAGACTTATTCAGGAGCCTGCTTTTATTTTTAATGTCTCCAAGTTGCTGTGTTTTGCGCTGGGGAGAGGGGATTAGAGCCCCGCCCTCTGTGACTCACAACAGCCTCGCGTTCAGCAGATGGCCTCCGACTTGTGCCAGCTTGCCAGGCGTCACACATCACTGGCTGGGCTCTTGCCCCACGGTACGAGTCCCAATACAGCAGCAGAGCCATACAAACACAGGCCACTGCTTCAGCATGTCCGCCAACATGTGTGGCGGAGCGGAGGGCTGGTTTGCGTGGCAGGAACCTTCTCCCGTGGACACACGAGAATCTTAATTGGCCACAATCAGACCCTTCCACTTCTCTCCCCACACACACACACCATTTAGTGTGCCAGGCCTTCAGGTTCCTGCATGACAGCTGACACATTTAAATTAAGAATAAAATTAATTACAGGAAGTCTTATGTATCTATATTGTGTGTTGAGACAATACTGAAATGTATTTCAAGTGCAAAAGGCATAAAAAGGTGCTCATTGTACATTAATAAACCCCCAAGTTCTACATTGCAATTACATAAAGCTTTTTAAGAAATCTTTTTTTTTGCTTTTTTCTTTTACAAAAGTGCCAACTACAGTTATTGATTTCCAGCTGATCTAGTATCTTTTTAAAGATTTCCAAATGTAAACAGTATTCCAAACCTGCCCCATAAACTATCCAATGGGAGAATCTGTCTTCTAGTAGAAGGAGGATAGAAAACTCTTAATTCACTTGCTTATTATTTCCAGGCAGTTCCTACACTGTCCTCATTGGGAGTGTCCTCTTACCAGCTACCTGGAGATAAAGCTGGATTTAAGAGATAATGAGAAGGATGGAAACCGTAGGTGCATGTTGAGTGATCAGTTGGCATTCAAAGACTGCAGAATCTCCTGGTTTTGGACGTTGGCCCCTTTAAATAATTTAAATCTCTCTCTGTGTGCATTTCTCCATCTCTGTCTCCGCATATGTGTCAACTACAAAGAGTTTTTGAAGCCTTTCAGCTTCCTTATGTACATGTGTTCTCAACAAGCATGAGATGACTTTGTCACAGGTATGTCATAAAATTTCAAACGTTTAAGTAACAAATTGTATTTACAGTAGAGGAGTCTGTGCTGCCTCTCCCTGTGCACAGCAGCAGATCACAAAGGAGATTTCTCTGCACCCCCTTCCCGTTCTCCCTGTTATTGCTGAATGTCACGGGGTGGGTTAGTGTGACCTTGAGAGGCATCAGTAGCGCAGCAGGGTCGAGATGCCTGCAGGCGCCCTTGTACTGGATTTGCAAGACAAAAACCTTCAAACTAGCTGAAGGACATCTCAAATCTCTTTAAATGTTTTTTTCCCTCTAACTAATCTGTGTTGCTCTTAGGCGGATATGTGCCAGTCCGAAAAAAAGATTTTTTTCTCTGGACACTCTATCCTTAACCTTAGCACTGAGCTGATTGTGACAATAATCCAAATGTCTGGCTAGATGTGTTTTATAACCTCTTCACAGCCTGATTAACAATTCATGGCATGAATGAACGTTTTATTCACTTTAGTCCTCAAAATGTGCAGGAAAAAAGTAGCTCATGCTCTGGGGTGTTTCGGAGTTTATATTCGGGGACCAATGAGAATGTGCCAGCAGACACTACGTATAGCTGCATCCTGAGGGCTATCCTTCATCCTGAGCACAGGATACTGCCACAGTGGGCACAGGTCCACTCCAGTCTATCAGGGGATCACTCTTCTAGCTCTGGGGCCTTCAAGTTACATCTTGTTATTCTAGTGGGTGCATCAGTGACCTTTATTCCTAGCTCAATAAAACAGTTTTATGACTAGTCTCAGAATTACATGAATACAAAATTCTAAATAAGAACATGTTAAAGTTAACATATTAAATCACACTTTGCTTTTATACCATATGTGACAAAGTATCATTCATGGAACATATTAAACTTATTGATAAGGTTAAACACCAATTACATAATCCTCTTTAGTGATGAGTCCAATGTTAATTTCAGTATGCATGAACTGACTGACAGCAATTTTTGACAAAGAGGTGGAGGATAATCAGGTTCCAGGATGTATGCATTTTGTTTTGCCCTCTTTGCCACATAGAAAACCTAAAATGGTTACGTTTTCACTCAGGAGTCCCTGCATGACGCCATGATATTTCCTGAAACCGAGCAGAGGAGGATCTCCCCAGATTAACAGTTAAGATGCAGTGATCATCACACACCATGGCCTTTGAGCATACATTTCAGCATTTCATGTCCTCGGTCTTAGAAAAATATTGACAGGATTTCAATTTCACAGGACGCTGTGTACAGTAAACAGCCCACATCTTTTGCAATGCTTGGAGACTAGACAAACCAAAGCAACATCATTGGTCTTAATTTAGCCACTAAAATTTAAATGGGGGCCTTTTTGATGCCAAATTATGCCAGATAAAAGATTAAGTTGCACATATCGCGTAAAGAGAACACCTGTCAGGGACTCAGATAAGCAACAGATGGAGAAGCTGAGCCTTTGGTGCAGAGGTCAAGGTTTCAGGACAAGGTCAAGGTCACAGTAATGTACTGCAGTCACAGCTCTCTTTTATACTCACCGTCATGGAAAAAGACTGCAACACACTGGGGAGTTATTCTATGGTATACCTCTATATTTAACATCCTATTGCAAATAGTTACTTTGAATCAT